CTGACACAAAGCGCTTAAAATGATCAAATAAATAAAATAACCACAGCTTTAAAAAAACATCGGCGCAATCACCTGCGCTGTTGCACGCTTAGCCTCGTTTTCCTCTATTTGACGCAACTCACCAGTGAGAAGGATTCTGTCATCTATGTGAACGAGCACTAACCTGAATTTAGCATTAAAAAAAGTTGATTTTAACCATTTCTCGACAACATTGATGTGATTTTTCATGCAACCATTTCAGCAAAATCAAATTTAACTCAGTCTTGGTCCACTTCTAACATACCTTCCAACAATGGGATACATAAAATGAGCAGTTGCAGCAGGTCGAGGAAATTGAGGTCGTAATGGACCGCATGAATCCTTTGTAACAAGTGACTGTAAGCTTTCATTGAGCTTAGTTCAACTGATAATTTAGCCAACTACCTTCAATGCGATACTTTCTGCTCCAAAAATGTTGACGGTGGCATAGAAGTTTTATGAACGGTCTCGGTGAACATGTCCAAGCAGTCGTCCTTGAAACCTGGAGCAGTCCATATTAAAAGATAAATCAAGTAGAGACTAAATCACGCTCACTTGTATGGGATCTACCTTATGTGTAGCGTCCCCATGTCGCGGATGCCGAACGAAGGGGCTCAAAGTAATGAGTCTAAAACAGCAAACATAAATGCTTCCCACACTGGAACAATGTGCTACTATAGGTTTAGCCAGAACTCTTTTGGAAAAGTCGGTTTAAAACGTGAAAGTTACTGATCGTTTTCAAAGCTCCTCTTCTTCAATTCTAACACTTCGGCTATTGTTGTGAAATTAAGGAAAAACAGACGTATGAAAGAATATACAAGTCACGTTTTGTATGTCGAATTTTAAGGTTCGAAATTTGAGAACAAGCGAAGAGAGTGCTGTCAACGAATAGTGCAAGCATGCGAGCTGTGAAGCTCCTGGTGACTTCAAGAACATAAATCTAATTAGAAGTTGAGGAAGTACAATTAGAATCAAAAGTGATTTAGTTAGTCACAAATAGTGGGCAAATCAAAGGAATTTTGAAAGGTTTCATATTACCTAGTAGTCGTGACCGTCGATCTGGAATCAACACCCAGCTTGTTTCCATTCATATCTTGAGGAACCGTGATGTTTCCTTCGCAAAATTTAGTGAAGGCCCGTTCAATTACGGCTTTTTGCGGTTCGTCGTCTTCAATTTCAGAAGAGTACTTCAAATCGGATTTCGTACCTGAAATTGAAGTATTACAACTCCCAGTAAATGACATTCTTCGCCAAATAAATGCTTTCAAGCATATCATATTCAGGAATGGAATAACGTGGATCCCTTCGACCGGAGGTGTATGAGAAGAAGCTCGCATCAGGGGTAATAATCCAGGCAAATTAACTGTGGCGCATGCGACTGTCTAAAA